TTCTTGAACTTGTAGAGACTTAGTTTGTGCTCTAACATGTGGTCTATCTTTGAGAATGTCCCATGTGCCCTTGAAAAGAATGTGAATTCTGCAGTTTTAGGCTGTAAATCTCTGTAGATATTTATTAAATCCATTTGATCTAGCACTTTATTTAGAGTCTGTGTTTTCTTGTTAATTTTTTGTCTAGAAGATCTATCCAGTGATGTCAGCGGGTTATTGAAGTCCCTTGCTATGATTGTATTGTTGTTGATTTCTCCTTTGAAGTCCTCCATAAGATTTTTAATATATCTTGGTGCTCCTATATTTTGTGCATATATGTTTACGAAGGTTATATCTTCCTGTTGGATAGATCCTTTCAATATTATGTAGTGGCCTTTTTTGTCTCTCGTTATAGGCGTCATTTTGAAATCTACTATATCAGATATGAGTATTGCTACCCCAGCTTTTTTTTTTCTTTTTATATTCTTGAAAGATTTTTTTCTATCCCTTCACTTTCAACCTGTGTGAGTCTTTTGTTGTGAGGTGGGTCTCTTTTAAACAACATATAGATGAGTCATGCTTTCCTATTCAATCAGCTACTCTGTCTTTTAATTGGAGCATTCAAACCATTCACATTTAAGGTGTTTATTGATATGTACTTATTTATTGCCATTTTTGTTTAGTGCATTTCTATTTTTCTTTCTATTTCTTCTACTCATTACAGCAGTCCTTTTAGCATATCTTGCAGTGCCGGTTTGGTGTTAATATATTCCCTTAGACTTGTTTTTGTCTGGAAAGCTCTTTGACCATGTATTTTGAATGATAGCCTCGCTGGATAGAGTAGTCTTGGATTCAGATCCTTGTTTTCATGACCTTGATTACTTCATGCCACTCCTTTCTGGCCTGTAGTGTTTCTGTTGAGAAGGCAGTTGAGAGCTTTATGAGGTTTCCTTTGTAGGTAACCTGTTGCTCTTCTCTTGTTGCCTTTAGGATTCTCTTTTTGTCTTTAATTTTTTGGTATTTTAATTATTATGAGTCTTGGTGTGGACCTGTTGGGTTCTTCTTATTTGGGGCTCTCTGTGCTTTTTGAAAATGAATGCCTATTTCCTTCATTAAGTTTGAAAAGTTTTCTGTCACTATTTCTTCAAATATTTTCTCTGAGCCTTGCCCATTTTCTTCCTCTTTGAGGACTCCTATGATTTCAATGTTATTACATTTCTAGTTGTCCCACAATTCCCTTAAGCTTTCTTCCTGCTTTTTTAATTGTTTTTTCTTTCTTTTTCTGATTGGTTTTTCTTTTCTTTTTTTTTTTTTTTTTTAATCCTTTCTTCTAATTCACTGATTCGTCCTCAGCTTCCTTTACTCTGCTCAGTAGTCCTTCCAATGTGTTCTTAATTCCTGCTATGTCATTCTTTATTTTTACTTGGTTGGTTTTCAGTGTTTCTATATCTTTACTCATGGTGCTGATGTCCTTACTCATGCTGTTGAGCTTCCTCAATATCATATCTCTGAAGTCTACCTCTGATAATTTGCTTAGCTGCATTTCATCTATCTCATCTTTGATAGAGTTCTCTTGTTCTTTCAGTTGGGATTTGTTTCTTTGTTTCACCATTTGGGCTATCTCAGTGGTTTTTGGAGCCTGCTAAATTTTCCCTGTGGGTGTTTGTGTTCTGCTGTTTGTGGCTCCCTCTACTGTGTTTGGATGAGCCTAGATGCTCCCACGTTAAAGACCACTTTCAAGTCTTACTTTCCTGGGTAGATTTGCAAGCCCAGGAAAGGTTCAGTTATCCTCTAGTTTTTTCCTGGTGGCTTGTAGTTTTACTTACTCAGTGCCTTGGAATGTAGCCCTAGTGTTCTGAAGAAGAGGATTTCCAGAGGGTGGGATTGATGCTGGTTATTAATGAGCCCCAATTTGCATTTCTTTGCCTCAGCTGGGAAAGGCTGAATTTTCACGGGGGTGTTGCTGCTTTTCCCCACAGCTCTGGGAAGGAGCACACTGGCCACTGTTTTTTGTGGCCACAACTCAGCAAAAACTCTGAGTGCCCTCCAAATCCTAGGTGTCCCCACAGAGTTTCAGCCCAGTCTGCTTTCCCTCTGTCATAGCCCCCAGGTAGTGGCTGTGGCTATTTTAGCACTCTGTTCCAGCTCTGTGTGCTGTGGATTGGGCTTTGTCTTTAGTCCCCAAGGGTGCTGCTCACAGCTAAGTCTGCTGCTGTCTGTGGGCTCCTAGCCCGCCACCCTCTCACACCTCCACAGATCCTACCAGTGTCCCTGGTTATATAGTCCTGTCCTGCTGCTTTCCTGTTACTTTTTTCTGAGGATTTGTCTTTATTTTAATTGTAATTCTTGTTTGGTCCTGGGATAACCTCTTATTAGCTTCTATTCACTCCACCTTCATTTTCACATCCTCTACACCTATCTTGTGCGCAGCTGGGTCACACAGGCCTTTCTGGTGCCTCCACATTCTGCAGGTCCCGCAGGTAACTGCATTGCACTGTCCCTTTAGGGACCTTGCTCTATGCCTATGTTATGGGCTGCTCGGTGTCACAGGCCTCTCTGGTGCTTCAGCACCCCACAGGCCCCACGGGTAACTAGATTGTGCAGTCCCTGCTGGGTCACACAGTCTTCTCTGGTGCTTCAGCACTCCATTGGTCCCATGGGTAATTGGATGGCACAGTCCCTGCTGGGTAGCACAGGCCTCTCTGGTGCTTCAGCACCCCGCAGTTTCTGCGGGCAGGCAGCTATATCATACCTCTCTGAGGCTCCAGCTTCCTGCTGCTCTTGTGAGCTGCTGGACTGCACAGGCCCCTGTGGGGCTCAACTCCTGCTCAGCTTTTGCTGTAATTTTTGCTAATGGGTCTCAGCTGCTGGTCTGTGCTTCTGTTGCCTGGGGATGGGTGTCTGCTCCCCAGCCTCTGTTGCTGAGGGTATATTTCAACTCTGGTCTGGCTGCTACTATGGAGGATTGTGCTGGGCTCCAGGCTGTCTGAGGCTTTCACGACCAGCACCTTGGGAGCTCCACTACTGCGCACTGGTCTGTGTTGACACAAATCGTCCACTGGTCTGATGGTGCCAGGTGTGCTGGTGGGCTCAGGTGTCTGGGCCCTAGCCACTCTCACTGTGTCCTCCCTGGGAAGACCCGGGATCTTCCAAAATGGTGAGACCTCCCCGCAGTGCAGGGAGAAGTGCCCTGAAGTTCCACTTACCGTGGTAGCCAGCTGCTTTGTCCACAGCACAGGAACTTTATGCTCCATGTCTCTGCGCTGCTTGGGTTTGGTTGTCCACCTTCATGTTTACTCACACTCTCTCACACACCCATTCACTCTCTCACACACTCACCCTCCCTCAGGTCCTGCCTGCCGCCATCTTCTTCCTATATCCCATAAAGAGGTTTTATGAAATTAAAGATGTGATGGGTAAAATAAAAATAGAAAATTTAAAAGCTGAAGTAAAAAGTCAAGGGCATCCAAAAAGATTAAAATATGAGAGAAAAGTTAGGAGATATATACAATTCAGGAGGTACAATATGTATCTAAGATTTCCAGGAGAACAACAGCAAAATAAAATAAGAGGGAAGAATATAAAGAAAAAGACAAAGATACTTTTCAAATCTTCAGATCAAAAAGGCCCATGTAATGCTAAGTAGGGTGAATGAGAAATACTTACAGGAGGCACATTCATATGCAAGGTTTACATACAAAGGACAGAGGGAAAACCTCCCAAGTTTTACTCTGGCACTCTGATTTAAGAATAATCATTTCAAAATCCACAAAGCAAAAAGTACTTGAAAATACAGACTTTCTTGTTTATTCCAAAGGGAAAGGGCCATGATTAGATTACTATGCTTGTACAGACAAGTCTAAAACCACATTTTCTCCCCTTCTTCTCAACTTCTCTCTTTAAACAAATTGCCTTGGGATCTCCCCGTGGAGCCAGATGGAAGCGAAGCTAGATCAGGGTTCCTAGAGCTGAGGACCCTAGTTTTGTGGGCCTCTTAGACACCCCCAAATGTCATAGCAGAGGCCCCACTTTGACAGGCAGCTCTGTGTGCATTTATTTATCTTGTCCATGGCCAAATGGCAAGCCCCCTTTTCTGGTTTTACTGTTTTAAGTGGGGTCTCAGCATCAGGCATGCCACCTACCCTCCTCCCTGTCATTGGGTATGAAGTTGGTTCTGTAGGCTTCCCAGGGATTTCTTAAGAAACCCAGTGATCAAGCTCAAATCAGGAAGGCTCAGTCCACCACAGGACCCCCACAGTCCTTCCCACCATCCTGGTTCCTCATCCCTGCCCTTGCTTTCTGTTGGTCTCCACAGGACCACATATTGTCACTGGACTGACTGGCAAAATACACTGCATATCCTCACTGTTATCTGTGAATTCAGTGGACCCTTCAAAGCCACTTGACTAGGTGGGGGTGGCCAGAGTGTCACTGTGCATCTATGTCAGGAGGATGTGCCCTGCTACCACCCTTTCCTACTCCCTGCCCTCTAACTTTTGGAGCACCTTCTTTTCAGACCCCTGGAGGAGGGGAACCCTTTGGTAGGAACGTGGCTCAGAATCTTCTCAGCCAGAGCAAGTTAGCTGGCCAAGGGTTCCATAAGCCTTGTCATCTGTGGCTACATGCCCTCAGTCTACTTGGCTTTTCCCCTCTGCATGGCCAGCAGAGCAATATGGCATGTTGGTGTTCATTGCCTGGCTCTGCCCTTGAGCAGCGTTGAGGCCCAACCTCACTGCAGCCCTCTGTGCCCTTTGGAAGTGAGTCTAACTGGGGTCTTACAGGTCACCGAGCAAAGCTGGAAGGTGAGAGGTGATGTGAAAGACAATGGCAAGTGAGAAGTTGCAGAAGTGGCAGAAAGTTCCCCCAGATGAGACTTGAGCTTAGGAAACTGATGGTCAGAAATGAGGCCTGCCACCTGGGGCAGAAGTATCCTGAGGTGTGCCAGCCTGGGGCAGTTGACTCTCTTCATTTGGGGATGTTGGGGTCACTGGGAGCTGGAGCCACCCTTTGTCTCCTCCCAGGCTATGCTCCTGTCACTGGGATGTGCCACCCTGTCCGCAGTTGCACCCTGAACCATGAGGACGGCTTCTCCTCGGCATTTGTGGTGGCCCATGAGACTGGCCATGTGTAAGTGGCCTCACAGGCCTGGTTGTCTGGGGAAGGTTGGGGCTTGAAGGGTCCCACTTCTCTGAGCCCAGAGAGGGACACACCCATATGAAAAGCACTAGGATGTTATTGCCTGTCTTCCCAGCACTGCAAAGGGCAGGCCCGAGGTCCTTTTTCTGTTGAGGAAACACATCAAAGGAAGGGCCAAGTGGGTTCTGGAGGCTCTCCCTGGATTTCCTCATTTTACAGATGAATAACTGAGCCTTTGAGGGAGGCTTGCCCTGGAGCAGAGAGCCAAAGGTGAGGTCCATGCCCCAGGCATCACCTGAATCTTGGGGCTGGATGGACACTGATGGGAAGCCTCACAGGGCCACTGAGCCTGTGCAGAGTGTGCAGAGAAGGCTCCCAGAGAGCTGGACTGCACTGCCTCTGCCCCCATTGCATTCTCACATCACAGCCCCCTGCCTTGGGGACAGAACACCGAGGGGCACGCTGCTGGATGCTGTCTCCCCAGTGTGCCCCTAGCTTTAAGACTCTAGCCTATGGAGCCCTGGCCAGTTTGGCTCAGCGGTTAGAGCGTAGGCCTGTGGTCCAGAGAGACCCAGGATTGGTTCCCACTAAGGGCATGTACCGCGATTGCAGTTTGTCCCCAGCCCTGGTTGAGTTGTGTGGGAGGCAGCCACTCGATGTGTCCCTTTCATGTCATTGTTTCTCTCCCTCTTTCTCCCTCCCTCCCACTCTATCTGAACAAAAAATAAAAGACTCTAGCCTATGGAAACGTGGTATCACCTGGCTTAAGGCAGACCACAACAGTAAAGGTCTAGGAGGACCCAGTGGAGGGAGGTTAGGGGGCCTTTCCAATATTTGGGTGGGGTAGAGCTGACAGGTCAGTGCAGCCAGGTGAGGGTCCAGTGAGGATTCCTTGGCTTCCTGAACAGGCTGGGCATGGAACACGACGGGCAGGGCAACCGCTGCGGCGACGAGGTACGGCTGGGCAGCATAATGGCACCCCTGGTGCAGGCAGCCTTTCACCGCTTCCACTGGTCCCGCTGCAGCCAACAAGAGCTGAGCCGCTACCTGCAGTGAGTATACCCCGTGTCCCTCAAGGCCAACCTGAAGCCTTGGGCTCAGCTGTAAGGAGGGTGCGTGTCCCAGTGTGCCCAGGCCTAGCAGAAGGCCTCAGACCTTGGGTCCTCCAATTTTAGGCACAGGGGAAGGAGAGGGAGATAACAGTTCAAGTCAGAGTGAGGGGATCCCACTGTTATGGAGCACCTTTAATGGACATTTGGAATCTGGGCAAACAGGTCCTAGTAGTTTACATCAGGGAACAGAGATGCAGCAGGGAAACTGAGGCAACACAGCTGAGAGCTGCGATGTGCAGACAGGCCTATCATCACAGTCCAGAAGGTGCTTCAGCTGCCCCACATGTTGGATAGCCAGTCCGGCTGAAGGCAGCTCGCAATGCCCACATATCCCCTCACAGCTCCTATGACTGCCTGCGGGATGACCCCTTCGCCCATGACTGGCCAGCGCTACCCCAGCTTCCTGGGCTGCACTACTCCATGAATGAACAGTGCCGCTTCGACTTTGGCTTGGGCTACATGATGTGCACTGCGGTGAGTGTCGGAGCTGGCACCCTGGGGTCAACATTTCCCTCTGTACCCAGTCACACCTAGTACCCACCTTGCCCATCTAGACTTGGTCCTGGGCAGGGTGCACACAGCTGGCAAAGGCTGTGACCTGGGGATCAGCAAAGGATGGTGGGGGCCTGATGAGGCCCCTGTGTGATCTGCAGAGTTCAGAAGGCCTTCCTTGGGAAGAAGTAAGGTGTAAAGTCTGAGTGGGAGGACAGGGCATTCCAGAATGGAATCACATGTGCAAAGGCCTAGAGGTGCAAGAACCTAGCATGCATAGGAGCAAACAGTTGTTCCCCAGGGTTGTGTGCCAGGACAGAGCTATCAGCATCAACACTGGTCATCAGCATTGAGTGTATCTGCTGATCAAGGCCCACCAGGTGTGAAGCAGTATGACAAGGACATTAGTGCCTATTAGTGTCTGACTCAATACTGAGCTCACCTTCATGTAGGAAGTAAGTAAAGTATTTCCATTTTACAGATGAGGAAAGTGAGGCCCAGAGAGGTTGAGTAAACTGCCTAAGGCCATACAATGAGGAAGTGGTGGATCTGGGTACTGATGAGGCTGTCTAACCTTTTGCATGACGGCCTAAGTAATGTTGTGGGCAATGGGAGCTCTGGAAAAGTTTGAAGAAGGGAGTAGTATGGCCAGGTCTGAGTTTCAGCTGTATCCCTCAGGGTTGTCCTGGCGGAAAGGCTATCAGGATAGGAAGCAGAAATGTCAGGAAAGAAGTAACTCTGAGGTCCAGAGGACAGAGGATAAGGCTAGAGCAAGGGAAGGGCCTGTTGGAGTAGAAGAAAGGGCTTCAGGAGAAATTCAACAGGTGGAGTGTCCATAGTAGGGGGATAGGGAGTGCCGTTAGGGCCCTTTAGTGACAGCCCCTGGGCAGAGAGATGGCTACCCAGCCCTCATGCCAGGCTCACTGTCTCCCAGCTGTCTGTCCAGGCTCCACAGGTGGTATAGCTGTCAAGGGTGGGAAGCCAGGGAGGCCCAATAGCCCACAGGGACTTGAATTAGTGGCTGTACATTCAAGATTCTCATGGCCTCAGAATCACATGGAGTTCAGGGCACTCAGTGATCACACAGGCCTGTCATAGGCAGTCAAGTTGTGCCTGGATGCATAGCTGTCCAAGAGACCTCTGGAGAACAGAGTGCCTACAGTGGGAAGTGCCCTGACCAGTGGCTGGTGTTCTCTTCCAGTTCCGGACCTTTGACCCCTGTAAGCAGCTGTGGTGCAGCCACCCTGACAATCCCTACTTTTGCAAGACCAAGAAGGGCCCCCCTCTGGATGGGACCATGTGTGCATCTGGCAAGGTAAGTCACAGTAGAGGGCAGGCCCCTGACATGCTCAGATCTTCAGGGACAGTCCCTTCAGAGCCCATAGGGCAGAGTTGGGGGCCTTTCCTGCCTTCTTTCTAATAACCTTCCATGGACTCACTCCCCAACTTCTGCCCCTGTGCTTCCCATGCAATATATGTTATTTTGAAGCAAACCTGATGTCTCAGAGCTCTTCGCTATGCTTCGATCCCCCGCATAGAAAACTCCCTCCTCTGAGAAGCAGTTTTAGGGTTCCAACAGCCTCAGTCCCCATTGTACACTGTGGGTGACTGGGTTACCTCATCTTGAGGCCAGCACTGGGGTCTGGTGGCTGCTGGGTCCCCAGGCCCAGCATCAGGCTTAGCCTCTGGGACCTCTGTGTTTAAATGCCCCTTAGTGGTCAGACTTGTCCCTCAAGGTCACTCAGTAGTTGACTGGGCCATCTGCCCAGGCCCATTTCCCACCTCCAGCAAATACACAGAGAAAGGGCTTCTCCCTCCTACTAGTTTCTTTCCTGGCTCTGGGCCTGATTCTCATTGGCTCAAATAAAACCTCATACCCACTTATCGGCCAATCACTTGTTAGGGGTTGGCTTATGCAGATGAGCCTAAGCCTGGGTTCCAGCCCCACAGGGCTGAACCCACTGAAGCTGTGCATACCTGCACCTGCTCTGTGCTGGAGGAATGTGGTTCCCCAGCTCAGGCCTGGAAAGTCCCCAAATAGGCTGGGCCTGAGGTTCCTCCAGGTGGATCTTAAATTCTGCTTAATTTTATTTTGTCCATGGTGGAGCTTCTTAAATCTACAGATTCCCAGGCCCACCACTGCAGATTTTGGTTTGCAGTAAGGATCAGAAATTGTCTTTGTTGTTTTTTTAAATTATGATGAAATCTAAATAACATAAAATACGCTATTTAAAACACTTTAAAATTACAGTTTAATGGTGTTTAGTTACATCACCACTGTGTAGCTTCAGAACTTTTTCATCACCCTAGAAGACCCCTTTAAGCAGTGACTCTCCATTCCCTTTCTCTCTCCAGCCTCTCTATAGATTTGCCTATTCTGGAATTTCATATAACTGGAATCATATACTATGTAGCCTTTTGTATCTGTTTTCTTTCACTCAGCATAATAATGTTTTCAAGTTTCTTCCTTGTTGTGGCCTATGTCAGTGCTTCACACCTTTTTGTGGCTAAGTAATATCCCACTGTCTGAATGGACCACATTGTGTGATCTGTTTGTCTGTCAGTGGTCATTTAGGTTGTCTTCACCTTTTGGCATTTGTGAATGTGCTGCTGTGAACATTCATGGACATGTTTTGTTTGAACACCTAGGAATTGGTATATTTAAGAAGTGCCAAAGTGATTTGGCTGTGCCCCAAGACTTAATGAACTGTTAGAAGTTGGAGGTGGGTCATTGATAATTAAACACCAGGGATCTACTAATATCAGTACTAATTACTTAGCCCTGCAACTCCATAGGAGCTTGATGAAGGGAACAGGGCCCCAAAACATTTGCCATAACCCCAGTGGGGGCCTCAATACACTCGGAGCTGGAGGATGAGACTAGCTCAGCACAGCTTCCTACCCCAGGCCACCCGTCCTAGTGCACACTGGGAAGAGAGAAAGTGGACAGAGCAGGAGGCAGGCCCTGCACAGCTGTGCTTACTTGGGATGTGTGGCTGGCCTTCACCCACAGTCATCTGATGACTGTGAGAATGTGGGCCATTTCTGTCTCTCTCTCAGCCTGCTAGGGGTTGGCACAATGCAATGAACCAGAAGCAGACACTGCTTGGAGTGAGGGGGAGCATTGAAAGGGAGTGAATTCTCCAGATCTCTGGATGCAACCTAATTTATTTGCAGAGTGGTTCCCCAGGTTACGTGTTGTTTTAGGTAATTATTTCCTTGAGATGGCATCTCTGCTGACCATACAGCCAAGCCCTGTCTTTCACTTTTTTCAGTGAAGAAACATCAAAGGAGATATAAAATAACAAATCCATTTATGCCTGGGCTTTCTTGCCCATTGTCACTTTTTGGGCGGTTTTCCTGCCCTTTGACATGCAAACCTAATCTATTCACATGTAAACAATCCAATCAGTTCAAATAGGGTGATTTTCCTGCCCATCAGGCAAACCTTATCTATCCACACACATACTTTGATCCTTGGCTGGCCAGGTCATGAGAATGCATATCACAAGGTTACATTTTGTTCATCCACCAAACCCCCATCCCTACATCTCCTCCCTTTTTTCTTTCTTGTAATTGAGGAATTGCCATGGCTGTGGTGGTTAGAAGTGTCATCACTTTTTTTTAGTCTTTTGTGTAGAGGACATCATTCACCAGAGTCCTTGGAGAACTATGAGGCCAACACAAACAAGAAAACAACCAATAGCAGTAAAAATCCAGATTCTAAGATTGAAACCCTCAAACCAGTGTTTTGGATTGAGCCATTGGATATTATCTGAGATTGTCTTTAAAACATTTTGTTGAATAAGTTGTTGTATATCTGTTAACTGTGTTTCCAGATCCTTTTTTAGATTAGCTACTTGCCCTCCAAGGTTGCCAGCAAAAGCTCCTTGTAAGTGTTGTTTGACTACTGTCCAACTGTGGGAGGTGGCATTCCAAGGCAATGTAGTTACACACATACTGTGACTAAATTTTCAATCACAGGGTAACATAGAATGAGTGGCTAAGGCCTCTTGCTGCCTCTAAGTTGTTTAATTGAGTCAGGATTTTTTATTTAATTTCTGCCTGGGAAATTATATCCTTAGTAACATTGGTCATTACTTTAGTCACTGTATGTGCTGTTTGGACTTATCCTGTCAAAGCAGTGACCGAAACAGCTGCAGTAGCAGCAATGACTATAGCTCAAATGATGAATGCTATTAGACATTCAATAAATCTCCTTTTATGGGGGTGTTCAAATGCTTTAGCTAATTATGCTAGGCAGATTTATCTTCCTATAGTTGAATAAGGTTTACTGGTATCCATATTTTTGCTTTATGTCACATGGAAATAATATTAGTAATATTAAGCATAGTAATAGTTTCATGAGTAATATAGCTTAGATAATAAGGTTAATTAACAGAAATATTAAATCTATTATTACTTTTAGAGATAGTTATAGAAGAAGCAGGCAAGAATATATATGGGTGAGAGGTGTAAATCATTATAGAATCAGCATCATTGGTGGTCAATGTCATAGTAAAATTGTTACTATGGGTACAATATCCATAAGATATATATGTCGTAAAGAAAGGCAAATCCAGTCTCCAAATTTTTGTGTGTCAGGGGTCAGTATGATTTTTAGAAATAACCCTGAAAACAGGTCCTGAGAGACCTCCATTGGTCCATGAAATAGAGGCACTGGAGGGTGTGAAAAACTTAAACTTTAACTCATGATGATTACTGGACAAACATCCATGAGGACCCCAGTCCTCAATAATAAAACTTAAATTAAGGCTGGCTGTGGACCATACTCCTCTGAAGTGGCAAGGCTTTCAACATGGGGTCAGGGACTCAAGGTTGGTTCCTTGAAATATAGTGCAGGTGGGGATAGACACAGGGGATTTGGACTTTTGAGAGATATTCTGTGCTTTAACCCCAATACCTGTGATAAAGTTTAACTTAGCAGTCTGGCCCAATGTGGTCGGCTTATAATACAAATGTCATTGTAATTGTATGGGAACACAATCAGGGGTTTCATAGGTGGACAAACAAATGGGGGGTTGCTCTTATAAGAATGAAACCGTGGCATTGGCCTGAAACCAATCTTCATTTTTTTGTAGTGGCCCATTTGGGGGAAGCCAGGTTCCTCCTGTCCAACGAGTGTTATTGCTAGATAACAGGGCCTCCAAATACCACCAACTGACAGGGGTGAATAAAGCGGGGTCCAATATAAGTGTTGTTTTGTTGCTGCAGGGCTCAATAATATAAGCAAGCAGCATAAAATATCTAGCCTAGATTGTGTGGAGATTACAGATAAGTAAACCAAAAAAGTATTTTCTGGGGTAGGAGAAGCCCCCACTGTAGTTAGTATTTTCTCAGAACATTGTTGCAACTGCTTAAGGCTTCCCCAGGTAACCCTAGGAAAGGTTCGAGAGGGGCCCCAAGAGCCAGTGTGAGTTTTACAATTAGTGTCTAAGGTCAGCTGTGTCGTGAGCAAGTTTAACAATAGCTTATCTTTTAGGGTTACAGGGGATACCAGTTTTATATCTAATGTTCCACTGTTGGAGTAATAATTTAATGCTTTGAGATGTATAGGCTCGCCCATTATCTGTTTTAATTTTCAGTGGCACCCTCATATGTGCAAAACAGTACAGCCAGTGACGCTTAATGTTTTTGGCTTTTTACCCAGTAGTGGCGGTTGCATGCAGAAAAATGGAATGGGTATCTATGGTAACATATATTCACTGAAATCGACCAAATGATGAAATATGTGTTATATCTGTTTGCCATAAGGCACTAGGGGTTAAACCCTGAGGATTGACTCCTGTTGATGTTGGAGTCCCTCCCAAAAGCTGGCAGTCTGGGTGAGCCTTAATAATATTTTGAGTTTACGAGAGGGTCAAATGAAAGATTTTCATGAGTGCTCAAGTATTTTCGTAAAAAGGGCACGTGAACTTTCCGCTTGCTTAAATGTAAGATTTGTTGCTACGATGGCATCCACCTGTTGATTTTCTTGTGTTAAAGGTCTGGGGAGTATGGAATGAGATTGAATGTGGGTTATAAAAATAGGATGATTTTGTTTGTCTATTAAAGTTTAGAGAGACAACAATAAGGTTAATAGATGTTGATTAGCTAAAGGCTTAATAAAGGTTCCTTTTATTTTTTGTAATACTTTAATTATATATTGTGAATCACTAATTATATTTAAGGCCTCTCCAATAAATTGCTGAAGAGCTAATATTGCAGCCCATAATTTAGTACACTGAGTTGACCCAGGCTCAAGGCTGTTAATATTTTTTCCATTTCTCATTTTCTTTCCAGGCTATTTTTGTT